TTTCTCTGTTTCAACAAGACTTTTTAATTTCGGTATTTCAGTTTTCAGACTTAGAATTCTCTTTTAAGAAAATTGTAATACTATATCGGATTCAAATTTTAAAAGCATCTTCTTTTCTGCATTAAGTATAATTACAAATATCATTAATGGTTTATTAAGCAATGCTTAAAATTTAAATGGTGAGGAGTCATTGTATTACCAGTTTTTATATAGTACATCAAAATTATATGACCTCCTATCTCGTTTTCGGATTTTGCGCTGAACCTGAATGAAAAGACTGAAATGGGAATCGTGTTTCCCTACTCCATCAAAAAAGGCTGCAATGATATGACTTTAAAAAAAGCCTCAACTGGGAAAGCCTGAAATGGGACATAACTCAGTGTTGATTAATTCTACTGCTAAATACCTACCATTTAGCTTTAATATTGCTTTAATGTGATAAATCCAAGGAGTTTAAAATTGCCGTAACATATAATTCTTGCATAATATTATTTCTTTATAAGAAATGTTAGCTCATTTATCCTTCTTACTTTAAAATAAAGCAAACGCTTAAGCAAACGTAGGCTGGCGTTAATTTTAGAAAATGTTCTATGCATTCATAGATGTCAAAGATTTCTCTTTTTCAAGGAATAAAAGTATTCTAGGCTATTTTGCCAGAATGTATTTTCTTTAAATGTTCATAATAGGATGATGAGTAAATAATTAAAAGTATCTACGGAACAAATTATATAAAAAATGCCAAGATACCTTCACTATGGGATGAGGCTTTTAAACGCTTTCGAAAGAAGATTGGAACTACAGTCATTTAAATAAAGTTGATATATTTTGATAAAAGGGGAAGCATTATTCTAGTTCATAACAGGTAATTTTTATCCTTTTCAATATCAAAATTCTTAACTTTAACACGCATTCATTATTACATCAAATTTTGATTTTTCTGATTGTACGTCAGTTTTACTACCTCTTATGATCAACTGGCTGATTTGACAAAATCAATCCACTCTTTTTGATGGATGAAAGGGAGAGCAGGAAGAGCTACATAGGGAAAACAAATAAAAATCAAAGTAGCCATAAAATAAAAGTTTTATGCACATATAATGTTCATAAAATATTTTGAGTTTTAAATTATATCATGAGACATACATCATAATAATAAAGTATGCATTTGAAAAACCAGCTGTAATTTCCTTATTTTGATTTCAACTTTTAGAAGAAGTCTGTTTACACTGTGAATGGTATGTATTTACTTTTTAAATGTGACACTTTCGGCTTTTAGAGGGGACGTAAATAAGTTATAGAGATTTTTAGTAAATTCAGTAAAATCTCAAAAATCAAATCGCTTCTAATTACGTTATTTACCTATGCCACTGACGGAACGAAGAGAGAGAAATCTCCGACCGCCCCCCTACCTCTCCAAAAAAAAGAGAAGTTGTCATACCTACAATAGCTTCCGGTTCAACACAAGGGAATGGATTACAAAAAAAAAAAAAAAAAAAAAAATCTCGCGAATTCAGTATCAGCTTTTCTATTCCGAATAACCTTCTTCCGTATACAGTTAAAAGAACAGTATCATTTTGGTGTATTTAAATAAAAATTTGCAGGAGGAGGAAGTCATCAAATCAGAGGGAAAAATCTTATTTGCATACATTCTTTACTTGAACGGTGAAAATCAAAACTGTAAATCTCAATTTGTTTTAGACACCTTTTTTTTTTTTTTTTTTTTTTTTTGTTGTTGTTGTTGTTAAATATATTATTTGTAGCTATGTAGAGTGGAACAAATGTACGAAAAAGATACATTGACTGAGCAGATTTCAGGCATGCAGTCACATGAAAATCGTTAACTGCTGCTGTTTTTTTTTTTAACTGCTAACGAGCCTATTTAAAAAAAATAATAATAAAAATAGAAAATAAAAGAGTCCGAAATAATATGCCATGCACTAACAGTTCACTTAGCCGTGGCGACATCAGTTTGTTTTTCTTAAAACCGTATCTAAATCGAGTTGGACTGAGCAAGTTCCTGACTTCTAATGATGAGATAAAAACAAAATAATTGGTGGTAGCTTGTTTTCTTACATGAACACTTTTCTCCGGAAATTGTCAGTACTCGTTATCTTATTCCCTATTCTTTAGTGATAACACAAATATTTAATATACACAAGTCCTTTAAACGTAAGGGGGGAAAATAACTATTTTATTATAAATTAAAGTGCTTAAAGAAAGGGAACGAAAACAGTTTATGCTCTAATAAAATTGCAGGATTGGATCGAAACATTCATTAAAATAACTGACCCTTAACAGCTCAGCGGATCTTCAGCATATTTTCACAAAAAACTCTCCGAATTAACCTTTAACTGGTGAAGTGAAAAATGTATGCGTAAATAATATGACGGAATTTTACTGATCTGTAGGTAAACCATATATGGTATCCGGACATAATCCCGACAGCCGAAATCCCGACAAGCCAGAATCCCGACAGCGGAATCCCGACAAGCCAGAATCCCGACAGGTTCGAAATCCCGACAAACCAAAATCCCGACAGGGTCGAAATCCCGAAAAGCCAAAATCGCGACATGGTCGAAATCCCGACCAGCAAAATCCCGACAGGGTCGAAATCCCGATTGTCCAATATCCCAACAGGGTTAAAATACCGACACGGGCGAAATCCCAATAAGGCCTAATAACCCCTTAACATACTTCCACAGCTGCAACTAGTATATGCTTTGATGACTAGCAAATCTGAAGAAAATTACAAAAGATTATTCCAAGATTTAATTGATTTCGCTGAAGAAATTAATATTGAACTGAGGCCATCTAGAATTATTAGTGATCTAGAAAAGGCAGCTATAAATGCTCCGCGCACTCAAAATGCTGTCGAGGATTGGGGATTGGCACAGAAGATGGGAGACCTTAATTGGACGGCCCATGTTGGCGTTTATAACATCATAGAAGGATTTCAAAAAGAACAGGAGCATGTGGAATACCAAGTTGAATGCATTCTTCGCGGAAAACAACAACCAAACCGTAGGAAGGTAGATGATGACAGAGAAAGGGAAATTAATGACTGTTGTGGACGATCGTGTGATAATCGACCTGTGATGGAATATCTTCGTGCTATCGCTCACAATGTGTCACTGTAAATATGTCGTTTGCATGTTTAAGTGATGTTTTCTTTTTCTTAATAAAAAGAATTTTATAAATTTTCATTTCAAATTTTAACGGTCATTTCAATTTGTTAAAAATTATTTTAAGTAATGACATAATTTTTATGATTTTTTGATTTAAACTTTTAATTAGTAATATGTAATAGTTAGTTAAAAATTGTATTTTATTAAGCTAAATTGAGTGTTTGTATTTAGATATTAACTTGTCGGGATTTTGGATAGTCGGAATATCTACCCTGTCGGGATTCTGGACACTCGGGATTCTGACCCTGTCGGGATTCTGGCTTGTTGGGATTTTGACCCTGTCGGGATTTCGACCGTGTCGGGACTTTGGGTTGTCGGGATTTCGGCACTGTCGGGGTTTTGGACAGTCGGGATTCTGGCTTGTCGGGATTTCGGCTGTCGGGATTATGACCCAGACCCACCATATATTTCAGGAACAATTTTCAAACATAATTAGTTATTCTTAGAAATGATTAATAATTTCAACTTAAGATGAAACATGCTGAAACGTTTCACTGAAAGTGAGAAAGGCAGAGAAATACACGTGGTACGCTGCAAATTAGATTTAAAAAGTAAAATAAAAAAATTAAAATTAAAAACAATAAAATCTGAAAGCTTTCAGATTTTATATTACGCCTAAAGGGGCGTTTTTGAAACGTTTTGTGTGTTATCTTTATTTATTAAATATCATGTTCTTCACACTTAAACCTCATCATAAAATTCAGTTCAACAGCAATATCACAAAATATTTAAAAACAGCATATCCTTAGTGTCACATTCTTGCCACTAGGTGGCGGGCATCTCTTCCTTTACTTTTGCTGTAATTAAGTTCCGAGAAGCAGTCGAGATTGGAACCGCTCGGAGGAGCGTAAAGACTCAGAACTAAAAATGTACTGTCTTAAAATAGTTATCACCTACCTTGTAAATAGTGTATATTAGCTTTTTATTTCAATAAATAATTAAAAGACAAGATGGCCTGCTAATTGTAATAGAAACTCTTACTGGAAAACGTGATTATTAGAAGCCTGGCGTCGAGAACACTGAAGATGCAGCAGGTAAGGAATTTTACATTAATTTTATTGTAAATAGAAGAACCTGATGCAACATTTTTATGGCGCCCGAACAGGGACGCCAGGTTTTTTGAAAAGTTCTAATAAAGTGAATTCAAAAGCTGAATATTAAAATTGAAGATTTTAATACTTGTTCTTGAAGTATTCAGCAAAGAATAATTTTGTTTTCTAAGTAAGAGTTAAATATTTGTTTTTCATGAGACGTATATTTTTTGTGTAAATGTTTGAATCTAAGAAAGATAATGGCTGAAGTGAAGTAGATAAATTAAAAAAGAAAAGAAGTATCTTAAGAACTGCCGTTACAAAACTATTTAAGAAAATCGAAAGTGAATTAAATAAATCTGAAGGTAGTATTAATGAGCTCGAAGAATTGTTAGAACAGCTTAATGCTAAAACCGAAACGCTATCTAATGCCGATGTAGAAGTTGAACCAATTCTGAGTGTAGATGAATTCGAAAATGAATTCGAAATTACAGAACAATATCGCGAGAGAAGATAACGTTATGGAAATTCAGGCTTAAGAAACGAAACGATTAAGGAAATTAATCTGACCCTAATCGAAGATTTCAGTAGTTTCGGTCCAGGATAATGACTTAAATGCACCGAACACTCAGCAAAATATAAAAGATACACCTAATGTTAAATTACCAAAACTTTCGATTCCGTATTTTATGGGAACAGTAGTCAATGGCTTACTTTTTGGAATAGTTTTGAGTCCTCAATACATAATAACGAATCATTGAACAAAGTAGACAAATTTAATTACCTGAAAGCATATTTAGGAGGAACAGCTGCTAGTTGCGTTCAAGGACTTCCGTTATCGCCAAACATTATGATTCAGCAATTCAAATCTTACACGACCGTTTTGGAGGAGGAGAGACATTCTTATTAATGCGCACATGAATAATTTGCTGAATGTTGAATCATTAAAAAATGCGAATGACATAAAAACATTTCGTAACTTGTATGATAAAGTACAAACGCAGATTAGATGTCTCGAAGCGTTAGATGTTGTATCGGAATCTTACAGCGCTTTGCTGTGTCCGATGATTTTGAAGTTATTGCCTTCAGAATTAACGCTTGAATTCATAATAGAACACAAAATGTTGGCACCGATTATAACATAAAAGATTTAATGTCATTTTTACACGCAGAACTTTCATCCCGCGAACGCACAAGGTCAACGGTTTCGCAACAGCAAAAAGTATCAGATCGGCGACAGTCTTCTTCCCCCCCTGCAACGAAAAGCGCATATGGTCTCTCAAATAGACATAATAAACCAAAGATTCCGACGACCGCTACAGATTTGTTTACAAAATCCGAATGCAGAGAGGAAAATATGAACTGCGTCTTCTGTAATCAATTTCACAAGACTTATGACTGTAGTTTTCGTTTCCGGCTTATCATTACAAGAAAAAAGGGACATTTTAAAAAGAAAATGTGCTTGCTATAAATGCCTAAAATTACCACCATTTGGCTCAAAACTGCAGAACAAAAATAACTTGTTCTATTTGTAAAAAACAACATGCAACTATTATGTGTAATAAACAAAATCCTTCTGTCGAGGTTTCGGAAATTAAAAAAGACGAACAGATAGAAAATAAAGTACTTTCAAATCAAGCAGGATGTTCAGAAGTATATTTGCAAACTTTAATTGTTCGCATATATGGAAGAGGGAATAACCAATTTGTTCGAGCGATAATTGACACCGGAAGTCAAAACTCATACATAAGCAGGTATGCAGCAGAAAGGTTACAATTAAGAAGCTTAGGTGAACAAAGTGTAACCCACGGACTTTTCGGTGGCATAGAAGTTTCGGAAAAACATAAACGTTATAGAATAAAATTGGGTAGCGTAGATAAACGGTATAATTGCGAAATCAATGTATTGGATGAAAGAAAAAATATGTTCTTCGGTCCCTAAAATCAAAAATATACACTGGATTAGGGAACTTAGAAGAAGAGGAATTTACGTCAGTGATGTTTTGAAAAAAATTGCAGATTATTTCAGGAGAACCCCCAAGAGATTCATTTGTTGTTAGGGGCAGATGTTGCTGCAAATTTATTTACAGGTAAAATCGAAGTTCTTCCTTGGGGAAAGATTAGTTGCTGTAAGTACAAGACTTGGGTGGACAGTCATGGGGAAAGCGAACACTGACAATTATGAAATAGAAAATTCCTTTTCCACGCTTTCGTTATCTTTACATATTTCTGATGCCACGTTGTCAGAACTGTGGAGGCTTGATGAATTCCATACAAAAAAGGCTAGAGAGGAAAATTTGAAATTGCAATTCAAAATTCTGTATCTCGAAGAAGGGCGAAAGTCGTTCTCGTCCACTCTCCACCCACAAGGATTTAGCGTTGAAACGTCTACAATCTACCACCCAGAAACTTTTATCTCAAAATTTATTTTCTTCATACAATGCAGTTTTTAATGACTGGTGTGTAACTTAGGAGTGATCGAAGAAGTTAAAGAAAATATTGCGGTTGACTATGGACATTATTTACCACATAGGCCGGTGATCAAAGAAAATAGCTCAACACCAATTCGACCGGTTTTTGATGCGTCTGCGAGGAAACAATCGTCTCCTTCTCTAAATTAGTGTTGACCAAATTTGATAGAACTAATTCCATCTCTTTTGTTGAGATTTCGGGAAGGCAAGTTTGCTGCTATAGCAGACATTGAAAAGGCTTTCTTACAGATCAGTGTAAGGCCTCAAGATAGAGACTGGCTTCGGTTTTTCTGGTGGAATGATGTGGAAGAAAGGAAAACGAAAATATTTCGTCATACTAGGGTAGTATTTGGGGTTAAGAGTAGTCCTTTCCTTTTGGCAGCTGTTATAGAATTCCATCTACAAAAGTACATGAAAAATTCTTCATATGATACGGAGATAATAGCTAAACTCTTGCGTAGCTTCTACGTAGATAACGTTGTTGCCAGTTTTGACAAAGAATCCGAGATGATCCAGTTCATCGAAAAATCTCGAGAAATAATGTATGAAGGAAAGTTTAATCTTCGAGGTTGGTTACATAACGGAGATAACTTGAAACATGAAACTATTTCACCCGTATTGGGTCTGTTATGGAACTCTCAGAAAGATAATTTAACTTTGAATCTGAATTGGCTAGAAGATTTTGAAATGGGTATAATAACGAAGAGAACAATTCTCGCTGTAACCACAAAAATATTTGATCCTATTGGTATTGTGAGTCCTGTTCTCTTGTATCCTAAAGTATTGTTGCAGAACCTATGGAAAACAGGAATTTCTTGGGATACTGAAGTCGACGAGAGTACAAAACAAAATTTTGTGAATTGGTATAAAAGCCTTTTTCTCTTAAAAGAAATATCCCTCCTACGTTGGATACATTCCAGCAAGGACAATAGGAAGTTCTGCAGCATTCACACATTCTGTGATGCCAGTAGTAATGCGTATGCTGCTGCAGTTTTCTTGAGAACTGTGACGAATTCTGGAGTTGAAGTTCATCTGTTGGCATCGAAGTCTAGGGTAGCTCCCGTGAAATCTATTACGATCCCTCGTCTGGAATTGATAGCTGCCACGATAGGTGCCAGACTATGCTCTTCTGTTTTAAATGGTTTACAATGGCAAAATGTGGAAACGCATTTTTGGACGGATTCTACAACAGTTTTGACATGGATTCAAAGGGAAGAGATTGTCTGGGGCTGTCTTTGTGGAAAACAGAGTCAGGGAGATTAGTAAACTGACGGATCCAAAAACGTGGAAACATATTGCTGGAACAAAAAATCCAGCTGACCTTCCATCAAGAGGTTGCACCGCCTAAACAACTTTTAGCAGTTAGATGGTGGGAGGGCCCCGACTGGCTGAAGAAAAATCAGGAAGAATGGCCTAGACAAAGGGAAATACCGGACATGGAAATAGTGAATTCAGAAAAAAGGAAATCAGTCATTTCTGCACTAAATACGCAAAGGGTAGAACATTTTTTTGAGAAATATTCATCTTACCATAAAATGTTAAGAATAACTGCTTGGATATGCAGATTTATCAACAACTGCAGAAGACCAGATTCTAAACAATCAGGAGAACTCACGGTCCCTGAAATAGAAACTGTAGAAAAAAGAAAATATGCAAGATAATACAATAGAAGCATTTGGCAAAGAACTTAAAGTTAGGAAACCTTTGTACCTTTTTTGACTCAGATGGCCTTATTCGGTTAAAGACCAAGATTACTAGAAGAGAGGAAGAAGAAAATTTTCTCTGTCCAATTGTATTGCCCTCAAATCATAACTTAGTTCATAGGTTAATTTTAGATTACCATTTGCGACTATCCCACGCTGTGTGTGCAATTCGTACTAGCCAATATTCGACAGAAATTCTGGGTCCTGAGAGGAAGAAAAACAGTACGTAAAGTTCTTATGAAGTGTGTTCGCTGTAGAAGATATAGCGCAAAGAATATAGAGACTGTTCCAGCACCTCTTCCTGAAGATCGAGTTAGAGATGCTCTGGTGTTTGAAGTGACCGGAGTCGATGTAGCCGGTCCTCTTTATTTAACGAAAAGGAAAAAAGGCATGGATCTTGCTCTTTACTTGCGCATCTCGGTCTATCGCGCGATACATCTTGAACTGATAGAAAGTTTATCAACAAATGCGTTCATCTTGGGATTAAGGAGATTTATTGCCAGAAGAGGTCGTCCAAGTATTATTTACAGCGACAATGGCACTAATTTCGTTGGAACTGAAAATCTGTTAAGATCGATAGATTGGAAAGAAATAGAATGTCATTCAACTAGTATGAGAATACAGTGGAAGTTTAATCCCCCAACTGCTTCATGGTGGGGCGGTTGGTGGGAGAGGTTGGTACAAACAGTGAAGAAGATGTTGAGAAATGTTCTCGGAAAGTCCTGTGTCTCTTACGAGGAAATGTTGACTATACTTTGTGATATCGAATCAGTGATTAACTCAAGACCCCTTACGTACCTTTCAGAAGATCCAAATGATCACTAACTTACGGCACTAACTCCTTCCATGTTTCTACAAGATGTGCACGACGTCGGAGTACCAGACTTAGACTACCTGGATACCATCAATCTGACAAAAAGATACAAGTTCTTGCAGAGAACTTAAGAGAACATTTTCGCAAAAGATTTCGTGATGAATATTTAGCTATCCTAGTGCAAAAACCATCTAAACGATCTACTCGGACTATCAACAAAAATGACTTGGTGTTTGTCGGCAGCGACAACAAGAAGAGAATAGATTGGCCAATAGGTCGTGTTGTAGAAACTATATCCTGGGAAAGACAACGAAGTACGTGTTGTCAAAGTGAAAACTGCAACGGGTGAACTCCTAAGACCTGTGAAACGTATTTATCCTCTCGAACTTGATAGACCTAACTTGTTTAGTGACTTCACCATGAACAGAAAAAAAAACTCTGCCGATAAGTGTGACAGTGATATGAACTATCAAACTAGATATGGACGTAAAACTGTAAAACCTGTTACATATTTTTAAATTGCTATACTAATTTTTTGTTTCTTTTCAGTATTTTAGAAATTTAATTGTCCTAACAGTAGTCAATTGGAACATGTTATCTGGATATGGTATGAATGTAATGCAGAAAATGTTTAGATTTGTAATCCTTCTTTGTAAGTATTAATTTTAGAGCATTAGTTACTTTTCATATTTGTGAAAGTTGTATACTTGAATTTTTGTTTGATTATTGATAAATTTTGTTTTGATTTTCCCATTTTATCGAGGTAAAATCAAAAGGTGGGAGGATGTCACATTCTTGCCACTAGGTGGCGGGCATCTCTTCCTTTACTTTTGCTGTAATTAAGTTCCGAGAAG